CAAAACCTACACAACTTACAGACAATCCTACATTAATAGCAGGTCGGATTCTGTTCCGTAGTGTAGAGTACATCCTAACCGCACAGCGGGAACAACTTAGACATATCCGCGAGCACAATATAGCACTTGAGTCCGTACGAGTCAGATTCCAGGATTTTGCCCACGATATGGTGACTTATATCATGAACGAATTGCTTAACGCGATTGGGTGGACAAAAAAGTTTTGTACAGGTGCAATAGAGGGTGCCAAAATAGCAGCCCCCAAGGAAGAAGAGGTCTGACCCCACCGTGAAAGGGTCAAGGTCTGTTTCCCCGAGCCATACAGCGGAAGGAATGGGGAAGACTTTGACAATTGGGAAGCCAATGTCAAGTCATATATGTATCTACAGGACGTTGCCCCCGAGGATCATGTCTTGATAGCCTTTCAGGCTCTAAGAGACGAAGCGACCAGCTTCGCGAGGTCGCTCACATGCGCAACCCATTGTGACAATGACATGGTCCAGTACTTCGTCGTCACCCACCTCACTAGAGCAGAGCGCTACCAAGATCCACAGGATCTTGGCCTTCAAGATGCTGCTGGCCTGATGCCACTGCAGAAAAAGAATTTCTGGGGTGGCCTGAGATCTTGATCAGCCATCGAGATGGCACTGTAGTGCAGCCCCCTAGCCCGGGGGGTCTTCAAGATCCTCAACAAGCTGCCACGTTGTGAGGAAACTCGGGGAGGGGCTACCTACCGTTCGCTGAAGCCATGGGCTACGCTGCCTGTCACTTCGCCACGCCCGCTTCCAAGGTCCTCAGCGACCGGCAGGGTGCACAAGGTTTGTAATGCCCGTCTCGTTGCCTCTCGAGGTCGCTAGGGAGAACAGTTCCTGTGCGCCTCGACTGAGCTCGATTCCCAGCGATCATCAATACTAACCGTGCGCCAATACAAGACTTTATTTACTGCGATCAGCAAATACGACTGCAAGTGAAATCAAGACCCTATTCATTGTGATCAGCAAACGCAACAGCAAGTGAAAACAAGTCCCTATTCATTGTGATCAGCAAACACAGCAGCAAGAGAAAACCAGTCCCTATTCATTGTGATCAGCAAGAGCAAAAGCGAAACAGAACAAGGCCCGATTCGATGAGGTTGGAGAAGGTAATCACACGTCAACTCAAAACTCCGTCCATAATAAAAAAAAAGAATAAAATAAAAAAGGGGGAAAGTTTAATTCCCCTCCAACTTTATCTGTTCATCCCAGTCAGCTCTCTCTCTCCCACCGCTCTTACTTCCTCTCTCGCACTGTCCGAGTCTCCGCCTATTAGAATCCTTCACGATCACCCCTGGACAAGATTCGCGGGGAGCAGTGGTTCCCCCCCCCCCCCCAACTGTAGTAATTAACTGAAGATGCTGTCTGTGGAGTCCTTTGCACATGGAATTCGACAGCGACCTGCTTGCCAATCAGTCCATTTCAGTCCGGCTGATCGGTTAGTAACTCAACCACACTGTCTCATAAGCAGACACCTTCAGCCACATTCTGACTGATTTCCCAGACATCCAGGGGAAAACTCGATCCGATTTGTCGTCTGTATTCAGCGGCTGCAGAATTGTAAAATAAACTTGGCTTCTTTCTAGTCACACAGAGCTGTTTGGTCACCTGTTCTTCCTCCGGCGAACGAGGAGGGCATTGATCTCTAAATATTACAACGGTTCGGTTATCCTTTCTCTTCATCCTTGTCATGGGCAGCGAGCTTACGCCGACGTAGCTTCCAACCCTCTTCGGCTGATGGCCTCCAAGTTACTCAGATCGTGAGGGCCAGTCGCCGCATCTCCAAGTCATGTATTGATGTCCCGCGCCTCAATAACCTCTGGCCGCCAATCGCCTCTCTCCCTCATTCGCTATTCTCTGCGCTTTTCCACACGGGATGCCCCCACTGCTATCGAAAGCTTCATACTATCCAGTCTTTCTTTGTCCTTCACGTCTCCCCGCATGACCGTTCTAGTCGGGCAACCTACTGCAGTCGGAGGGCTGAGCACGCCTGCTCACGATCGAACCCCCCCCCCCCCTTTTGATCGAGCTTGACTGCAGTACACTGGTCACTCCTAATACCTCTCTCCTCTTTCCCGCTCGGTCACGCGAAGCGAGCCCGCCAAACCCAATCGAGTCAGTCGAGGGGCTGCGTACACCTCGTACGCGGAATCCCCGTTGTCTGCCCCTCAATCGGTCTTCTCCCTGTCCGCGCGCACACCGCGCACACCTCCTCTATCGCGCAGTCTCCTTTCCCTTCCGCTCACACTGTGTGCGCCTCTCTGACCAGTCGCCAATCGGGCCTTCCGTGCCTCGCCTCGAAGTGCCAGTAGTGGGCGGGGTACACCAGGCACATTGAATCCGTCAACAGGGACATCTATCCTGCCCCATTGCTCCTCTGAACGGAGTGCGCTAGGCACACCACCTGCACGCACCGGTTCCGCTCCCTCCCTAGCCGAATCACACTGTCCAGGTGGGCGGCGTACACCCGACACACTCTATGAAAAAACTGTCCCCCGTACTGATGACTCTCTCGACTATATCCAGTCCAAGCCCAAGCGTCAATCCCCAACTGTGTCTGCAGGCAAGGCCCAGGAAAATGTAGTTCTTCGGTGGGTACTATGGCCTACCCGCACCGTCCAGAGGGTCCAACGGTCTTGAATCCGTGTTACCGGCGGTAGAGCAACTTGTTCCTGAATCTTAAACATCACCCCACGTTGCACCATAGGTCATCCGTACGAGTAGAACAGTCTCAATCTGTAAATAGCAGTTGTACCAAGATCGTGAGTGGTCCGCATGTAGCTGTACTATTCCAGACCCAATTGCCATACCAAGGTAGCAGTGTGGAACACTCGGCCCCATTGTCATCTCAGACAGTGCAAGTAGCGTGCCCGTCGCCGACCCAGTAACAGTACCAGACTGATGCTGAAAACCATACCGGCAGCAAGCGGCCCGCAACATTTCCAGACGTATCGCCGAACCATACCAACAGCGTCAAGTGTCCAACCAGCGAGCATACCAAGGCAGAAGTATCGAACCTCAGCCAAGTGGCGTGCCAAACAAACGGCCGCGCCGCACCCGTTCTGGACTAGTAGTCGTACCAAACCAATGGAGAGCACCATATTGTCACGAAAATGCGGTCACGCCATACCAGCGCCATGAATACCAAACCTGTAGCCATACTGAATCTGAAACAATCGCTGTAACCCGTTTTGTACCAAGCCGAACCGGAAATAATACCTCGGAGTTGCACCGATGCCAATCCAGAACCGAGCCTGAGACAACTGTACCATGCCGATGACTAGCCTGAAATAATCATCCGGAGTCGCCGTGGCTCGTACCGTGTCAATGGCGAACCAATACCGGTCCTGAAAATGATACAGTGGCGCGTACCATACGGATACCGGACCCATACCGGACCTGGAATATGAAGGATGTCGTACAATAACGCATTCCCGTGATGGTGCCGACCCTGAGGCATGTCGATGTCAAGGTAATACCGTCCTTGAAATATATTGATCACCGTAGAATGCAACAACTCCATCATGGTACTGAACCTGAATAAACCTTCACGGACTATTGTAGCCTGTACCACCCCGATGTCGGACCAATACCAAACCCGAAAATAATGCCATGACGTTTACCACACAAATGCCAACCCAATACCGTCCTTGAAATACGTTGAATACCATAGAATGTCGTAATTCCGTAATGGCACTGAACCTCCCCGAACCATGTGTCCGGACCGAAGAGGCGGCCACACCGACACAACGGAGCCGTGCGGCACAATCAAGTAACATGGCGGTGACACCACGCCGTCCGTCCACCCCGCACTCATAACACACAGGTTGCCGTGAGGCTAGAAATCAGGGAAATCAGGTAGGTCATGCAAGCAATCTCAATCGCCAGAAAATAGAGAGAATCGTTGGAAGAAGAATGAATAAATAATCCGGGGTTGGATCCATCCTCGAATAATTTGAGCAAATATTAGTCAGTCATTCAATAATTGTGGGTTTTCTTCCCTTTCATCATTTTTAATTATTCTTCTTATTTCTTAAATCTATCATAAAAATTAATGAAAATAAAGGCAGTTTTATTAGAAATAAATTCTGATGGAATTCAATTAAATGACGAAAAACCTCACGTTCTCTTTTTCTTTCACAGTTTTGTTTCTTTTTCTTATTTTTGATTCTATTACCGGAAATAGCAAATAATGAGGGCGATTTCTTTAAAATTAAATACCGAAGAAATTTAATAAAATAAGGAATATCCCATTTTTCTCTTTTTTTCTTTTGTTCTTAATTCTTTTTCCCATTTTAAATTTTAATATCAAAACTAATGTTTTTCAAGACTTCATTCCCATGCGAGTTGGGCAGCTCAACAGGGCCACGCCAAGGCCTATTCTCAAATTACCGTTCCGCGGCCGGTTGTTTCGGAAACAGGCTAGGAGCGGTGGAAATAGGATAGGCATCGGCGCGGTAGAAGACGTAGTCCCTCTCGCCAATTTGGAGGGTTAGTCTCAGCGGTCGACACCCAATTTCTGGGGTGGTCTGGGTACCCCTAATTTTCCCCAATAGTTCGGACAAAAGTCCCAGTCAATCCTCTCTCACACAATTTATCTAAGGGTCAATCTGCCGGAATTAAGGCGGTCGACTGACCTTCGGCCGCCCGACAAACAAGCCCGGACCTCCTCTTGACGCCCCCGTCGAGCCCGCTCCACCATAATCAGACGAATCGTATGAGATTCAGACTGACCACATGTGCGCGGCTATGTCTACGCTTATCTATCTGGTGCTTGGGTTTTGTTGAAACTCTAGGACTGAGAGGATGTCTCTTCCCTCTTATGTCGCAGTCGTTTGGGCTCTGATATAGGAATATTTCTCGATTTCTTCCTTCGCGAGGATGGCGGCGCAACAGACGCGCCTCCTCGCCTAATGCGGACTCTACGCTTAGGTCTTCGTAGCACGAAAAGCCATTTCCTTTTCTTACCTAGCGTTAAGCCCTTCACTTTCCTGGTCTCTACTCTTTTCCTCTTCTTCGAACTCTCACCTATCTTGAACCGCCTCGACGGTCCCTCATCTGACACCTTGGTCTTCCCTTTACCCTTGGGATCCGACAACGTCTGCTCCGGAGTAGGGGGTTCCCTTGGCCTAAACAGTTTCAGTCTAGCCCCTGCCACAGGATCCTTCCACTTAGGCCCATCTAGCTCAACAATCATACAAGCTCCCCAACTTAGCGCACCGACTACACGGTAACGTCCCATCCATTTGTTTGCCAACTTTCTCGACCACGTCCTCTCCAATGCAGCGTCGTAAAGAAGTACCATGTCGCCGACTTTTATCTTCTCCTTTCTGATTCTGACATCTTTATCCCATCTCACCTTGCCTTTCTCTCTTTCCATTGCTAGTCGATTGGCTGCGGTCATGAGATTATCCTCTAACCCGTAGGCTATCTGTCTAGTCCTGGCTGCCAGAAGCTCCTCTCGTGACATACTATCCGCCCAATCAACCGTCGTCCAACTATCGACGTGAAACTCTATGGGCAGAGGGCAGTGCCTCCCAAACCATAGAGTGTATGGTGGGTACCCCGTGCTAGCTCGGACAGTGACATTATCCGCCCAAATCGCATACGTGAAGTATTTTGGCCAGTCACTATCTTTACCTCTACACCATTTGGACAGTGATGCTATCAATGACTGGCGGCCTCGCTCTACAGGCGCACTGGACTGAGGGTGATAGGCAGTAGCTATCGATACTCTAGCTCCTGCTTTCTTGAACACATTATGAACCTCATCCGCTAGAAACTTCGCCCCTCTATCCATCACAGTCTTACTGACGCATCCGTATCAGGACAAATATTCCAGAACGAAGTCCTTGACTTCTTTGGCAGCCTTCGTCCTGATAGGCTTACCGTCGGACAAATCCGGTGAAATCGTCTCTGATGTTCACTACATAATTCATATTCCCAACGCCTTTCGGCATCTTTACCAGATCAATATGTACTTTCTCACCTGGTCTAGTAGGGTAAGAAGGATGAAGCGGTTCCTTGTATCTTATAAGGGATCTCTTCGGACAGTCCTCACAGGTCACGCAGTACTTTTCAACATCCTTGTACTGCCCTTTCCACCAGTACAGTCTGCGGACCTTCTCGTATGTCCCTTTTACCCCTCTATGTCCTCCAACCACACCGTCATGCAGTTCCGCTACTATGGATTGCTTCTCCTCCGGATCACCGATTACTCGTAATGGCATTCCTGATCCCGTAGGTCGGCGAAATAAATGCCCAGATCGAAGGCACTATTGTGTCGCCTGTCTCCTAATCTCCGGATCAGAACTCTCCTCCCCTGACAGATGCAGTCCTATGGTCCGGTATTTACCTTCATTGAGGTTAACCAGGAAGCGAACTGTTCGCCTGGGCTCAGTCATAGTCAGGGCAGCGACCACTATTGGCCGCTCAACCTCGATCGGCTCGATCGGAATCCGTGAGAGTCCGTCAACTACCTCATTCTTCGTTCCCGAGATTCTTTCTACAGTATAATCGTAGAGCCGAATCCTGATCAGCCATCGCGCAATCGTAGGACCGTCAGACTGAAGTCCTTCTGTAAAACCGACGCTACAGCCGTAGGATCTACCCGAAGAACGAATCGTCTCCCGTATATGTAATGCCTAAAGGCATCTAAACACAGTAGAACAACTAATAGCTCCTTCTTAAACGATTGTAGTTCCGCTCAGCGGTGTTGAGCGTACGACTTTCGAATCTCAGCGGTCTCTCCTTACTGTCGGCGTCCTTTTGAGAAAGCAGCCCTCCAACCGTAGACACTACGAATGGCTTGTTGGTCTCGTCCTCGAAAAATGGCACGCCTAGGATTCGCCCTCCTTCCTTAAACTCTTCCTTGAGGGTTTGTACCGCTAGCTCCTGAGGAGAATCCTAGTAAAACCGCTTGGTTTTTCTAAGGAGGGTTCTCAAAGGTTCTGCCTTTTCAGCATATCCGCGTATGAAAATTCGCCAGTATCCCACAACTCCTAAAAATTGGCGGACTTCGGTAGCGCTATGCAATGGGGGCGGCCAGTTCAGGAGTTTTTCTAACTTCCCTGGTTCCGCTCGGCGACCTGTCGAATCACATATGAATCCTAGAATCTTAATTGTCGATATAGCCCACCGGTTCTTCGTCCCACTAACCGTCAGGTTAGCTTCATCTAGTTGTTCCAGGATTGCGTAAATATCTGTCAGGTGGTGCTCTACGAATCTCCTGACGCCAGGAGCGACTTCCGTCTCATCTTTCAGCATTGGTCCTTTTATCGGAAAGTCGTACAGGAAAACTTCAACTTTATCAGGGACAAAATCTTTCAAAACAGCTACCATGGCTCTTTGAAAGACTGCTACCCCATTGGTCCATTCCATAGGTACGACCATCATCTGCACTAATCCCAGTGGCGTGTGTATGGCAGTAAAATGCCTATCCCTAGGATCTAGTGGTATCTCATCATAACCTGAAAATAAATCGCAGACAGAATAAATTGATCTGCCTGCCGCTCCTTCCGCTAATAGATCGGCGTGCGGTATGGAGCCCACATCCCGAATCGTAACGGCATTAACCTTTTGGAGATCTTGAATCCACCGAATCTTCCCATGAGGCTTCCTTAAGAAGAACCACCTATTCGCGTACGTGCTATCAGATGGCTCCGCCACGTGTAACGCCATCTTCTCCTTGAGAAAGGCGATCACTTCTTCCTTCTCTTTCTGAGCAAACGTCCACCCTGCATCATTCCATGGGGTATGCGGTATCGTGTAGATCCTAGTAGGCTTCGCATACCTAGGGTCAATTCTCCTTCTTTCCGCATCACTAAAAGCTATGGCCTTATCGCAAGTCTGAAGAACTTCTAGCACGCGCCCCTTCTCTTGTTCTGTCAAATTCCCATCTCCTATGTCCATCTCCGCTATCCTTTCCTCTGTCAGCCGTTGTGGCTCCTTCTTCTTCCTCTCCTTAATCTTCCTTGCGATCTCTTCCTCAGATACGCCATCTAGTGCGGATCGCTTCCGGGCTACCGCCGCCGGCTTAACTTTCTGAGCTACTGTCTTGTGTCTTTTTGGTCGTCCCCCGTAGGGGGCTGCGCCCTTAAAAAAGACACAGAGATCATACCTCCGAATTCCTCATCTTCAGCCTTAGGATAAGAGTTTTCTCCCACACGGACTCGATTGCCTAAATCCTCAACCTCTACTATGCGCCTCTCTTCTTCTATGAGTAATGGTCCATACTTCTTTTCGTGAAAGTTCAAGGAGCGACTTGCGAGCATGACCGGCTTGCGGCCCCCTGCCGCGAGAACCGCTCTGTTCCTCGGATCACGAGGCTCAACTGTCTCCATCATAATCCGCCCATCATCCGGACGCTTGATAGAAAGCATCTGGCTTCTGTCCGGTTGTTCTATAGTGACTGCATGAACATGGCTTAACCATGTTTGCCCCAATAGTAACTCCGAGCTGCAGTCTCGGACCGCGAAAACAGGCATCAACACTCGCAACCCTTCGACCTCGTTCGCCGCCTTGTGACAGACCCCGGAGACTTTCTGCTTTCTCCCATCAACTGTCTCTATCTCGAATTGGTATGACCTGTCGAGGTCCAGTCCCAATCGCACAGCGAGCTCCTCGTCTATGATGACAACCTCACTACCATTGTCAATTACGGCATGGAGAACTACCTCGTCATTGAGGGTAGTCTCTACCGTCCCACTCCCTAAAATGTAAAGCTTGTCAGGAGGCACACCTTCCATTCCATCTAAATACACAGTCGCTGTGCGTTCTGCCTTAACGTATACACTTGATACCGCTACAGAGGGCACATCCGGTTTAGAAGCCATCTGGACTTCATCCCCGAGAGGAATCCGCGTCTTGTGCGTAATCATCTGTAGCTCATCCCGCGCGTGTCTCGAGGCTGCCAAGTACTCTAGTATCGTGCACCGCATTGGTTGCCTAAGCTCGCGCCTGAGAGGCTCCACTGTATCGATATCGTCTAAGGTGCTCTTCATTGTGAACTTTCGGGCTCCGTGCTTGCGAGGCGAGAGTATGACTTCCTCTCCTTCAATCCTTTGCCCATCCTTTTCGGCCATCACGTTATCAATGTCAGTATTCTTAGACGAGGACGCCCTTGCGGACTTATGA